CTACCGCAACCTCACGCCACCAAAGCCAAACATCCCATTGACAGTGCCCTTCTTGGCCCACGACGACTTTACCAAGCACTGCCAACAATGGCTTCGTACCACCATCCAGCAGCACAAGCATTTCACCATTCCCCTCCACCTCCCCTCCCACAGACTGAGGGAAGCCGCCCACAAAACCCTCCGCTCCCACCTGCACAACCACCGCACATGGGAGGACACCCTCCACTCCCCCCCCAGATCCAGCAGACCTTCCCTGTGCATGCGACCACCTTCGCACCCTCCTGCAGGATCCCGATACCCCTACCATCAATGGCCACTACATCCTTACACTTGACCAACTCCAACTCCCTACACACCTCAGCATTTTCCTCAACGCCAATATGAACAGCACCTATTACCCAAGCAAAGCTCGGTACTTCCTCATTTTCACGACGGCCTATACCAAATGGCTCAAACTACAGGGGCTTCCACCATCCCTGGTTCAACACCTACAGCCATTCCTTGAGCACCAATGGCGCCTTCACAACACACACCTCAAGCAGCAACCCCGTTTTACGGCCCGCCTGCTTCGTCAACTCCAAGAACATTTGGGCAAACACACATTACTCCACCATGCCGACCATGAGCTCCAACAACTCCGGCTGTTTTGCCCTCGCCAATATTTCACTGGCGCCTTGAACACCTGGCAATCCCCCGAACTTTTCGAACCACTTCCCTACATCACTGCCGCCAATATCCACGATCACCTGGCCGCCACTGTCCCCCCCATTTTGCGCACTCGCTACAAGTGGGGCTTCCGAAAAGACTTCAACATTCCATACGGCGTTGTCCACCTCAAGGAGAAGAAGCACTGGCAAAAAGGCCGTACAATTATTTCATACTTCCAATCACTCAGTGGCAACTTGCTTCGCATCACCAGCCGTGCCCTTGACATCATCCTCCAACACCTCTACCCTCAACATCCCGGCCAAATGTCCATTCCCCAGCTTTGGCACCACTTTCACAGCTACCTCACCCAAACACCACCAGACATCTCACTACACGCCACCAACGATGACCTGGTCGGCTTTTTCAACTCAGTCCCACAGCACCGACTCATCGATGCAGTTCACTCCCTCGTCCACCACTGGCAACAACAGCAACCCACACACACCTTGACGGTGGATGTCCAGGCCACCGGCAATCCTTTCCACCACTCACACATTGGCAGACACCATCGGAAACACCCCACCCAACGTACCATCCAAACTTCCGACATTACCACCATCGTGGCTTTTGCCCTCAACACATGCATTTTCCGGGCTTGCAACAATACTTACAAACAAATCCGAGGGGCCGGGATTGGATCCCAGCTCTCTCCAGCCCTATGCAATGTTGCCATCACCCTCATTGAGCACTCCTGGCATCAGATCCACAACAACCTCCTTCAACACACAGACCTCCACTTTACTTACTATCGATATGTCGACAACCGCTTCATTGTCCACAACGAACATTTCCTTCAACACCCGGCTATCCAAACCCTCATCCACCACAATTTCTTTGGCGACCCAGTTGAACTCGAACCGGTGGAGGATTTTCATCTCCTCGGTTTCAACATCGACCTCCCACAACGCACCATCACCTACATGCAACCTTCCCAACCCTGGAAAATCCGGGATTCCACAACCGCCGGGAGCCAGCGCTTGGCTCTATCAGGCCTCCAATCAAGACTCCACACTATTCGAAAATACACATTCCCACCCTCCAGCGCTGACGTTGCTGCGGCTGAACTCGTCAACCTATATGTCCAAAAGGGGCATAACTACCACGCCTGCCACCGGTTTTTGAAAAAAGCGCCGAATGCGGCGATCTGTGTGTGTCCCACCCTGGACAAAGGGTCTTACCTCACCACTTTTCCACAGGCAGGGGGGCAGTGGACCACTATCACTCACTGCCCAACGAAGACAGTGATAGATCGGTCGTGAAGCAATGCGGGACGCCGCATTGTGTACCTGCTGAGTTTTTCCACAAGCTGTCACCCTACTTTTCCACGATTTGATTCATGGTGGTTCCACATGATACTTTCCCCACAAACAGGTTTCCCACTGCACTGCAGCTGCTGACCGCCACCTCCAGTTGCGCTTGTCGTGAAACCTGTGTTAAACAATACACTTTAAGCTGACCTTTCCACCTTGCCGTTCCATCGCCTTCTTTCCCATTGAGACGATTGCGTTAACTGAAAATCCAAGTTCGAAGTGTGTTTGTGTGTCAGCTTTGGAGTCAGAAACGTTTTTAGATCTCGTTAGACTTTTGGAGCCGGGGTCAGCAGGGAGCCCAGTGGTTGGGTGGCTCAAAAATTGGGCGTTAAACCCGCTGTTTGTCAGAAGTTGCTGGGTCCTTATTTTTGCCACACAAATGCCACACAATAAGAAGTTAAGGAAGTCAGTCGGTCATGGTCCAATCATGCGCCAAAGCCTTGCGCCCAAAATGTTCATCATTTCTGCAACTTCGCCTCAAAGCTGAAAGGCTCAGCCGTCGGGAACAGAGAATCCCCCAAGGTCAGCGGTACCGTCGGGAAACGTGATGCAGCCCACAGGTTTCATGAACATTACGCGGTTCTGTCTATTTGGGCCTTGAAAGAAACATGTACATTTGACAAACGGCGTGCTCTTTAGACCCTCGATCACCTGAGTCCTTTTGGTTTGGTATATTTTTGTGACTGGTCGCCTAAGGACCGGGCAGCGCCAAGACATGCCCGTTCGAACGTGGGCGATTTCCCTCGCACCGATGCGGCGAGGCCATCGATCCTCTCCGGTGCCCTCGGGTGTGGTGACCACTCAGGTGCGGGACGGGCACCGCTTGAGCACCAAGCATCGCACCAACCATGCCCGGTCGAAGCGTGTACGCGAAGAAAACGATGGGAGCGGACCATCCGAGCGATGAGTGTTTTTTAAGAGAGGATCTGTTTGGGACTGCCGATCAGGCCACAATTTGGTTGAACATGGGGTTAAAGGCGTGACAAAAATACACGCATACATGGAGTGTTTGGGCTCTAAAACAAAGTCCTTGTACCCATGATTCTCGGGTACGAATTGGCTGGCTCCAGGCATCACAGACTCGAACAGGGCAGAAACTATAACTTGAGAGCCAGCATAGGAAGTGGGAAGGCACTTGCTCCTGTGGACCTGGTTCTGCTATTGTTCAACTTCCGTAAGCATCCGTAAGCTAGAAACGCTAGAAGAAACTCGGACATGCCAATGGCCTGCGTCTTTGATCCGTTTTTTTTCGAGGGAACCTAGGAGGACCGCATTTCATCAACTTCCACTATTCAACACCATAATCATCCATAGTCCGTTTTGAAAGAACCTGCACGGCCTGCCAGGTCATTATGCTGTTTTAAGGTGATTCCAGTGATTGTCCGGGGCTGTTCATTCAGTTTGTATAGAGTTTGGGGTCTTTCGTAGCTCGGTGAGTTTGGTCTCCCCTTTTTGGACATCTCTGGCTCTGACCGCTTGAGCCGATACGGAACCCAAGGCCCTGGCGCTTGGTCCAAAAAGAATAGAATCCAATGGAGGCCTTCGGTGATGGTTCTGCGAGGTTCTGGCAGCTCGCCAACTGCACCCGCCAGTCTTCCCCAAAGGCCACCCTCTCTCGAATCGGAAAGACACGAATCGGGCGTGTACTAAAAGAGAGATCCCAGTTTGACCCCTGCGAAGGTTTAGAAGATCGACGGTCACTGGAGGCCAGTACCCAATTCGTTAGGGGGGTCTCCCTATTCAAAGAGCACCCACCGCATCCCACGTGTTTCTCGCTCAAAAAAACACTCCACCCGGACCTGTCGGTGATCCCTCTGGACTGGCCCACAGTGGCCGCGACAGGAATGCAAACAGACAGACAGACAGACAGACAGAATGTCAATTTGCCAGATAGAATGCCAGAATTTGCCAAATGGAATGTCAGAATATATGCCAGAAAGAACGCCAGAATGTATGTCAGATCTATGCCAGAAATAGAATGTCAGAATATATGCCACATAGAATGCCAGGGATGTATGTCAGAGAATGCCGTTAGATGCCAGATAGAATGCCGGCAGATATGCCAGATAGAATGCCAGATAGAAATACAAAGGGCCACTACATGACAGATTGAAAGCGAGCGTATATGCCAGATAGATTGCTATACAGAATGCCAGAAGGAATGTGATTGAAAAATATTTACAGAAGCCAGAATGTATCCAGATACAATGCCAGAATGATAGAATGCCAGTGTATATGCCAGATACAATGCCACAATATATGCCAGATAGGTAGGATGCCCAAGCATTTGCCAGATAGAGTGTCAGAATATATGTATTCCAGAAAGTATACACATTTATGCGCAAGATACACCTGCATTGATGGCAGAACACATGTCACAACACATGCCAGAGCACATACCAGGACTGAAGTCGGACCATATGTCACGTCTCCAATTCCAAGACAGACAAAGGGGCACGAACTGCAGCTGCCACAACTTCAAAGCCAGCACATGTCAGACTTCATGGCCGCAACAATGTCAGAGCACATGCCAACAAGGACGTCAGAACACCGTCCAGAACATTTCCCAGCCTCAATTTATAGATTGTGTCAATACGCATGTCCGCTGAATATCCGCCTTGGTCAGGCTAATCTGTCACATGTGCGCTGCCTTCCAAATCGCCTCAGGGTGGGGAGCTCTCGAAGTAAAGGTTTGGTACGTGGCACCGACCTTTTCTTCCCAAGTGCGGACCATCAAGCTGGGTTTTGGTCACCGTCGCCTGGGCGCGGCTGCCCCTGTCATGCCAGTTCATTCCGCAAAGCTGTACGGTACCTCCATCGGCCCGGGGCCGCGGCCGGCGCGCTGGAGCGAGCCGCGGCCTTCTTTTTACGCTGCGCTGTTGAAAAGATGTTTCGGGAGTGTATTGATACGATGCTTCGGTTGGTCAGCCCTTTCAAAAAGAAATATTATTCGAGTACAGGGTGCCTTTGGAGAAGAAACCGATAAAGCCTGCGCCGCGTTGAAAGAAACCCAGTCACCCTGCAATTAGACTTTTTGATTCGATAATCAGTCAGCATATCAGTGCGATGCGAAATCAATTCTGACAACCCATGTTTGATCTTGTTTTTGCTCACCTGTGACAGCTCTTTTCGTGCTCTTTTGACAGGAGTACTTATATTGTGAAATGTTGCCGCCAACTTGACGTTTGTGTGGAGAGTGTTTTTGACGGATCTGACTGATCGATGATCGTCTCGACTTCATTTGCTCAAGCCTTCCTTGTGCCTCGTGGATGGAACGCGCCATCCTCCCAGTGGCCATAGGTGCTTCGTTTGGTGGACTGGCGTGGTGGAGGGCTCTTTTGCTTCACGCTGGCCGTGACGCCGCATCGAGGGCTTTGGTGGAGGTTCTTGGCAATTACATAGCTAGTCTGGGGGCCGAGGGTTTCTTGGATAGCCGTGGACTAGAGATCATTTGGCAGTTGGGCGGTGTTTTGATTTGCATCTATTACTGGTCGGAGGTCACTGAATTGGGTCGGGTCACATTGCGTTTTCTGACTGGAGTGTTGAGCATCTGCAGTTTTTTGGTGAGCGCCATTTACAAGTGGTTGGTCACCTTCACGGCTGAAGACAACACTTTGGAAGTAGAATTGCTACTGCCTGAGCCGGCACCAGAGCAGGAAGTGGTCTTAACCTGGTGCGGAATGGCCGCATTGGTGCCTGGACCCCCAGTTCCAGCAGGTTCCTTTGTGCTGGTGTCACGCCCGCCTGAGTGGGACGAAGTGAACATAGCTGCATACTCAGAGAATCACAGCTCAGCATTATGTCGGACCACCAGTTCGGATGGTACTGCATGGGTGTGGGTGATGGTGCAAATAGCTGGTTTACACATGCGCATGCCCCATGTAGCAGTGAATGGCGATCGCCAAGCTCCCGGTGGACTGGCGGATGGGGACATCAACTGGGTATGCATACCTCCTGCTGGAATCGCCCAGTGGAAGCCCACCCCGGCAGAGCTGGCCAATGTCATAGCAGAGGGCAACTTGGTGATGTCTCAATACAATCCCACCACCACCACATGGCCTGTGAATGTCCCAGGAGTGGCAGGACCCCTCCAAGAGGTGACCATGGCAGCGGTGGGGCCTGTTGGTCCCGTGGGAGGAGGAGGCGTGGCTTTGGGCGCGGCGCCGCCCGCGGCAGCAGGGCTGGGTGTAGGAGGAGCTGGCGGTGGGACAGGGGAGCCAGACATGCGGGCGCTCGAGGCGGCCGTGCATCAACTCCAGGCGATGGCATTGTCTCCGGGTCGTTCTTCTCGGGGCTCGAAGGGGTCCAAGAAGGACAAGAAGAAGGACAAGAAGAAGGACTCCAAAAGGCGCAAGAAGAAGAAGAAGCGCTCAGACAGCAGTTCCTCCAGCAGCAGCAGCAGCTCCAGCCGGTCAAAGTCCCGTTCCCGCAGTTCGTCAAGCGGCAAGAAGTCGAAGCCCTTGAGGTGGAGGGCTCATGGCAAGGACCGAGCCGTCAGTTTGAGCAACCTGACACACATAGACGGTCTCAAGTTCAAGCGCAAGGGCGACCTGGTGAGTTTCGCAAGTCGGCATCCGGGGGCACTGACAGCTCATTTTCTGTCTGGTGTCTATCAGCGCCTGAGCAAAGGCACCCTATCGAGAAGCAGTCAGATGAGGGACGTTTCAGTAACTGCATGGGCCCATCAGTTCTCAGGACTGTCAGAACCTCGCGATCTCAAGGAGGTCATCACTCTGGCGGAAGTACTGGATGCAGTGAATCGCAAGGAGATCGCCCAGGCCTTGGACATCATCAGCCAACGCATTCTGGCCATCCAGCAGGCCCGGCAGAAGGGGGGCTCGTGGGAAAAGTCGGAGGCGATCGAATTGGTGGACACTCGGAAGACCTTGGCCAGCACTTCGATGCTGGCGTTGACGAACAGTTAGCAGAAAGGCTTAGACGCTCGTGGTACAGGCTGGGTGGCAGATGTGATGCTAGCATAGGCTTCAATCGGTTTTTTGCTACAATGGCTCAAGCGGTGATGGAGTCTTTGGGCAGGAACTTCATAGAGAATGACTTTGCAGGAAGCATCTGTCAGAATCTGGCCTGGCTACGAGCTGCGAGGTGCAAGGATGAATTCAAACGGAGTGGCTCTGGCGTGAATTCACATGCTTTTGGCAAATCTCCCCCTCACGTGTTTCCTTTGCCCCCAGTTGGTTTGAAGCGGGATGCTCTTTCTGGCTCAGCCTCTTGGGATGACAGGGCTAGCTTTTGGGGTGGAAATGTCATGGTGGCTGCTCTAAATTGGTTGCATGGAGGGCAGCAGGCTTTCACGACGATGGTGCCTACTGCCGCTCATGGACGGGTGCATTCTAGGTTGGAGGGCGCCCTGAGGGCTCTCGTGATGAATGACGAGCCTACTTTGGGTCCGGAGAGGCTGGATTCTTTTTTGAGGCAGACTCAGCATTACACTGGGACCGGTGTGGTGCTGGCGCTTGGGGCACGAGGTGGTGTGCCGGACAAAGCAGCTGACGTTGCGCTGGCTGATGAACTGGCGCCCCATTTTCCAGACTTGGCAAGGCAGGTTACATCTCCATCGTGCCTGCTATTGCCGGCAAAGAAGAGGCCCAGGAAGGTGCGAAAGGGCTACACCTGGGTGTCCTCTACGTACCCCGAGTTAGTGCGCAAGAATGTCAAGGCGGGTCTCCAGAAACTCAAACAGGAACACCAGGTGGCGAAGCATGGTGGTCGTTTGTTGTTGGCTGGAGCATTCGCTGTAGTCAAAGACGACAAGGAAGATAGAGTCATTACAGATCCGTCGGTGAACCAGCTTCTGAATGAGGATAGTTTGCCAAGACCTAGGTTTGCATACATACCATCGCTTCGTTCGGTCACGGTGCCTTCCTCGGGAGTTATCAAGATCACCAAGAGGGACGCACGGCATTATTTCCATCGGCTTCGAATAGGCAGACGCTGGGGGCGCTGGTTGTGCTCTCCGCCAATTTCGCTGCCATCTCAGTCGGGGCCTCGGAATCGGAAGTGGTATCCGGCGGCGCAGGCCACCCCAATGGGTTTTGGACCGTCAGCGGGGTGGGCTCAGGCCTTGACGGACGCTGTAGCCATAGAAGCTGGTCTCCCTCAAGAACACCGTCTTCATCCTGATTTCACTGTTCCTGAAGAGCTTCCAATTTGGGGTTCCATTATCGACGACATTTGGGCCATCGAACACGGCGATGAAGCCGCTGCTTCAGGTGTTGGCGTGGATTGGATGAACCGCGCAGAGGAGGCCTGGACGGTGAAAGGGGTTGAACCTAACCACAAAAAGTCGGTCAATGAAGCTTTGGGTGAGGAAATTCAGGGTTATTTTGTGCATCCAAGGGATCACTGGATCGGAGTTTCGCTTGAGAAACGTAGACATCTCTATCAGGCCACCATGTGCACCCTGATGCGCAAGAAGGTTTTGGTAGGGGTTGTCGACCGCCTGATCGGGAAGCACAGCTTCATCCACTCATGCAGACCGGCGATGAGGTCCATATTCGAGGCCACCTACGCCTGGATAACTACAGTGAGGGGTCGTAGGCGAGAACTGGTGGTCTTACCAAGTGCTGTATGGGTTGAGCTTTGTATATCTGCTTCCTTGCTTCCATTAGCACACTTCAGTTTGTCGAGCAAGTGGAGTCAGAGGGTGGAATGCACAGATGCCTCAATGACAGGCCTTGGCCGTGCCTATGGATGGGCACCAACTACGGTGGTTCAGACCTTGGCTAGATACAGTGAGCATCGCAACATATACACAAACCTCAAACTACCATGGAGTGTGGGCCTCACAAAGTCACATGCATGTCCTCTTCGTCGGGTTCGGGTCCCTATCGAGAAGATCAAATGGCACTACATCTCCTCCCCCTGGCAATGTCTGCATATCACGTTGGGTGAGGCTGATGCCATCACTTGGGCGGCAGAAGATCGCTTGAGGAGGTTGGGAGATGATGGAGCCAGGTTTGTTCACCCGGTGGATTCTGCCGCATGCGCTGGTAGCTTTAGCAAGGGTAGGTCTAGTTCAAGGCAGCTGAACAAACGATGCAGGACTGTGTGTGCCATCAACCTCGCAGGGGGGCATGAGGTGTGGTACCCATGGATGCCTAGTGAAGAGAACCCTGCAGATGGACCATCAAGAGAGTTTGAGCCCTCCGGCAAGACGTCGCCGGGCCAGGTGGAGCAGCCGCCCACTGAGCGGCCGGATGTTGATTTGCGGGAGGTTGGTTTGTGGCCACGTGATGTTGTGTTCTTCCTTCATCTTTGTTCCGGACCTAGGCGTGAAGGCGACCTTTTGGATGCTGTTGCACGATTGGGGGCAGAGCATGGTATCGATATACAATGTGTGGCCATAGACCCACTTGCTGATATTTCTATAGTACAGGAAGTTAGGGGCGTGCGCAAGCCCTCTTGTGCGCACCCTTCATTACTTCATCCACCAGGGCTTCATGGAGACCTTTTGAGCGGGGTATGGGGTGATTGGATCCTCAAACTCATTGCAAGCGAACGGGTGGCTGGGTCCTTTGCTTCCCCCCCTTGTTGCACAGTATCTGCAGCTAGGCACCAACCCCTGAAGCCTGACAAACTGAATAGCGAAACACTTGGGCGTCAAGGGCCCAGGCCCCTGCGCTCGCGAGCCGAGCCCTGGATTCCTTTGGACTATTGTAATCCTCGCGAACGGCATGCGGTGCATATAGGGTCAGCATTGTTTCTTATTTGTTTGGGGCTTCTCGGCGAAGTGGCGCGGCGTGGCGGATGGGCTGGGCTTGAACATCAGCCGACCGAGGAAAAGAACCCTTTCCATCTTTCTTTGCAACTGAGGAGGTCAAGGTTTTTTGCCGAGCATTTGGGTTGAGCTATATAGAGGTAGCGCAGTGTATGTTCGGGGCTCCTTCGAAAAAACCTACTGGGCTGCTGGTACCATCGGATGCTAGGAGGTTGGCATGTCGTTGCACACATAGTCACAGGCATGAGCTGCTGCTGGGCTTGGATTGGCGTGGACATTTCAAGACCACCCCCGCAGCACGCTACCCACCAGCACTGTGCACAGCTTTAGCCGAGGTTTTCGTTGAGCGCCTTAGTATTGCTAGGGCGCACCACTATTTCAAACCTTATGCACCCAGAAAGCCCACCAATATCACGTTGAGTCCGTGGGGTGGTCGCATGCATGGCTCTTGGTCATGGCCTCAGCCGAGTGCAAACTTTCTTATTGAGCTCCTTGAAAGAATCCACGGTCACCAGATACACTTTGGCATTGGAAAAGCTCAACAATGAGCTAGAGGAGCAAGGCTGCACTTGGTCTAGCATGAGTGAAGAAGACCAAGATATGTTCCTAGCTGAGTGGATTATTGATGGCTACGAGGCCGGCGCGGTCAAAGCTGAGTTCGGGTGGGCGCTGTCGGCAGTGCAAAAGCTCTACCCCAGGTTGAGGCTGAAAGTGGCATGGAAGGTCTTTGATGTCTGGGGCCAGAAGGTTCCGTTGCGACAAGCTCCGGCTGCCCCACCAGAGTTTCTTCATGCTATGATGGCGGTGGCGATGATGCTTAACCGTCCCCACCTTTCCCTGATGATGGTCCTCTGTTACGCTGGGCTCCTCAGAGTCCGTGAAAGCCTGCAACTCTGTTACAAAGACTTGGTGGTGGGCCCCACGGAACTGGTTTTGTGCCTAGGGGTCACCAAACGAGGAACCGAGCAGAAGGTCGTCTTGCGCAACAATTCCGTTTTGCTGTTTGTGCGTCATTTTCTTTTGCATCATCCTGGACAACCCTGGGAGCTTTTGATCCCCCTGAGCTATAGTGCTTGTTTACGTTGGGTCAAGCGCCTCTCCTTTCTCCTGGGCGGTGAAACTTTGACTGTGACCACACACACATTTCGAAGATCGGGAGCCTCAGAACTGTCCCGACAAGGGCTTCCGTTGCAAGACATTTTGTTATACGGCCGTTGGCAAAGTGAACGGTCCGCCCGTGAATACATCCGGCAGGGTGAGGTCGCGGTCTATAGAGCACGACAACTCATCACAGCGGAGCTGGCTGGACGAATTACTAGGTGGGCCAGCTTGATGCCAACCGTTTGGGTTCTTTTTAAGCAAGTCTATCATGCAGACACAGATCCTCCTAAGGTGGATCGGGTGACACAGCAGGTTTTCGAGGCTTTTGAGAAGGCTTTGTTTGTAAAGACTTTCCAGTGAGTAGGGAAGGTGGGAGGCAGGCCTAGCGCGCCACAGCTTTTAACCTCTGATGCTTGA